CGGACTACCACTCGGGAAATGGAATGCGTTCTATGGCCTCCTTCACCAAGAGGGAGAGCACTTCCTGTTCCAGCATCCGATCCTGCTCTGGGTCTATGGTAGTCCAGACCACCCCGCTGAACTTGTAAATACAGTATAATTTTTATTTATTTTAAGCAAAACTGTAAAGATTTTTAATACTGGCCATTTATTGGTTATCAACCATAACATAAAAATAATTATTAGCTTATCGGTAATGTCCAGAATTTTTATATTGGCGCATTCCTAGATGTTTGTGTACATTTTCTAGCGTTTAGCACTCTAAGCCAAACTGCAAGATTTAAATTGCACTGTGAAAATGCATTCAGCACCTTTTGAGCATGTTTGCACCATTAGCTGATCTGCATAATTCCTTTAGCGAATCGACTGCTAAACCAAAGCAAATGGTGCGCTTAAACAATGTCACACCTTCAGCCTATTTTTATTTTCAGATAAGACTATTTTCTCATAAGCTCTATAAAATCATGAAAACAAAATAAACCATGTATTACAGATACGAGGCTTCGCATGATATCAATGTAATAAGTAATTAAGATAACACATGGTGTCATAAATATTGTAATCTTTCTGTAACGGGGCTGACAAGACGTGAGACGTGCGGATCCACTTGCAAGCTATTTATTAGGAGAAGACAGAGACGTGGTCATAAAACAGGCATGGGTCAGTCAGTGGCAAACAGGTATATGGCGGGCAAGACACAAGAATAGTCCTAGGGCTAGCGTAGGTCAACGAACGGCGAACAGAGTCAAAAGGGGCAAGACTAAAGGGGTAATCCAGGAAAACAGGCGAAGATCAGAAACCGAGAAAAACAGGCAAGGCAAGGCAAGACTAGGCTAGGCTAAGAGGCTAACGAGGGCTCTGTAGTGTAGCTATCAAACTGATAAGTGCTAAACAATACTCGGCAGTGGAATGGGATCAGAGTGAGAGTTAAATAGGGGATGTGTGAGTGATAACAGCTGTGTGCAATCAGTGCTGTGCAATCAACTGTGTGTGTGTCATTAGTGCAGTGGATGATGGGATATGTAGTCCGGGGTGATATGCAACAGTGTGTAGTGTGAGAGTCAATGAAATGGGAAGGGTGACCTCTGATGGCTAGCAGACGGAAGTTCATGGACCGGATACGTGACACTTACAGGCCTGAAGATTCATACATAATACATTCATCTCTACAGTGGGGTCTAAAAATAAGGCTCTTTCCTGGCGGTAATAATTCATTGTGGATTCTGTCTCTTTAGGTTAACAGACAGCTCTTTTCCAGACTGATGGCCCCTGGTTTGAAAGGACAATACTGTTGGGGAACAATTCAAATGAGTGACATTTCCAGGAAGAAACAAATGCTGGACACACCAAGAAATGTCAAGCTTTGGTATTTTTGTTAATTGGACAAATTCTTTCCCTCTCTCTCGATCTACACTCACAATATCCCTGGCCTGGAGAGATTTCCTTGCACCTCTTGTAAATGTCTTTCATCACAGCAGTTTTGGCACCTTCTCATGCAACAACTGTGAGGACAGTTTTGTGCTACTGAACTGTGAATATGGCATGGAGTATCACACAGCCGACTGTTAAGAATGCCACAAGACTGCTCAATAATGTTACTCGTCAGCGGCATTCATCCTGACCGCTGGCTAAGCTGGAGTTTTCTGTTTGTTTTTTTTTTTTTTTGGGCCTAGGTTTTCCTTATGGTTTCCCGCCTCCTAGTGTGCTAAAATAACCATAATCCTTCATTAAAAGCATCTATATACAATTGAGATAAATAAATAATTCACACACTGAAAAATTGCTGGTGGGTTTTTGTGGGATGAATAAAACTGTATGACTGATGTTTCAATGTTTATTTAATAATATCTGTACATTTCTATAAAACAGCAAAAACCAGCAACCCAACATAGGCCGACTAAAAAACTTTTTACCCTTTAGCAAGGTTTTATGAAGCACAATCAGAGCTAAAATGAAAAATCAAAATCTATGGTATTGCACTCCCTGAACGGTCACTGTGGATTTTCAAACAAACATTCATGTTTCCTCTCTCTTTATATTTCTCTCTCTATATATCCAACTTGCTCTCTGCACAGACCTTCTTACGAATGATAAATACCCTCTATAAGCACTAACAGCACTCTTGGGGCTACAGTCTGTCGCTGTTACGCTAAACACAGTAATTCAATGTCTTCTGAATGTCTGCCAGGTCCAATTAAAAATCTCAGGAATCCAAACCACGTCTGCCACCAATCGCACACAAACAAACAGGAAAACACACTCACACAAAAAAACGCATGAACAATATAAGAGTTCACTGACCACCAGGCTTCCCGGTAAACTCATAATACATAACGGTTTGGATTATTAGGCTGAAAATATCTTAAAATGCTTTAAAATATATATATTTATTAATTTTTTGCATAAAAAATGTAACCCATAAGAACCCGTGGTGACGTGGGTGTCACAAACACTGGTGATTATCTGGAAAGATCTTTTTAAAGCATTATCCCTCACTTTCAACTCAGGAAGTCCCTAAGTGACATAAAAAGAACACACAGGTTCAGTCATGTGACAATGTGTGCATTTTTGTTGCCATGGCAACATTTCCAAAATGTTGGCCTGTCTGGTTAGCACATGTTGCAGTGTCAGCAATTTTTAAAAATGCTTGTTTTTGTTACTAAAGGTATGTTTCTTTCAACCCATGCAACAATTCAAATTTTTAAATACATTTTATAAATTTTAAATACAATTTTAACCTGATTTTAATACATTTCTTGAACAAATTGATATAAAACAAGTAACGAAAATATTGTGGTGACATACCGTATTGGCCCGAATATAAGACGACCGCGTTTTTTCAGATGTATTTCCAAGAAAAAAACATCGTCTTATATTCGGGTCAATACGGTATGTCACATCGGGCTGTTAACCTTAAAACAGTTTTTTGATGTGACGTATTTGTCACATTAAGAAAAATGTTAATGAGCTGCTCAATTAATTTAGCTGATTCAATTATTTTAGTGTTATATATTTACTGCTGCTCATTTCAAAGCATATTTGAACAAATGTAAACATAAAAATAATGTCAAATTAATTACATTGATAATGAAATGTATTTTGAAACTATTTTGCATACCTGTAACTAAAACAAGATGTTTAAGCATATTTGAACAAATGTAAACATAAAAATAATGTCAAATTAATTACATTGATAATGAAATGTATTTTGAAACTATTTTGCATACCTGTAACTAAAACGAGATGTCTATATCATATGCTGGTCCTATTTTAAGGTTATTTTATCTTTTTTGTAGTGAGAATAACATGAACAGAGGCGATAACGTATAACTGATGTGGTGATGCGATGAACTAACTCATCTGTTATGCATTGAAGAGATAACACATAACATGTATATTGCATTGCAGTAACTTAGTCCGTTGTGCAGAGAAGAGATAACACATGACAGCTGCTTGTTGCACTGCATTGCATACAAGAACTAACTCTGAAGAGAAAAACATTGAAGAGAAAAAAATCATATATGCTGTTGCATAGCAATAAATGCTAAGAACTAACTGTTTCATTGTTTTGCATACAATAATTAACTTAATGCATTGTGCATAGAAGAAATTAAAGTGATAAAGGTGATAACAATGGTTTGATCAGAGTGATCAAGTTTTTATTTCACTGAGCATTGTATTGTTTGTTTGTTTACAGTTTTATTGCACAATATACACATTTTTGCAATGTTATTGCACTACGTGCATGTTTAACCTCCAGTGTGAGGTAGTTATTTATTTTTATTCAGTTTGCACATTTTCAATTTTCAAAAAAATCTAAAAATTAATTTCTGGTTAAACCATATACTTGAATAGGTAGAATTTTTATATGTTACAAAAGAGTTGTTGTAAAATGTAATGGCCACAGTTATGTGGTTTTGAAATATGTTGTGGCAAAATAAATAAAATGCAAAACTGTATTACTTCTGAAAAAGGTTTTTGTTTTATCTTCCCAGAAAAGTAATAATTTTGATATATGTTGTGGAAAAGCAAATAAACAGAAAAAAAAAGGTATTTTACAAACAAAAAAAACTGACATAATTTTGATATATGTTGTGGAAAAGCAAATAAACAGAAAAAAACTGTTATTTAGCACAAAAAAAACTGCCAAAATGTTTTTTTTTTCAACTGAGAAATAAACACCCAATGTAACATATATGTAATATTCAAAATTTATCACAAATGCCCAATGTCATATATGTGTCACATTACAGATCTTTCACAAGGAGATGATGTATTTCAAAAACAACTGCAGAAACATGTTATAAGTGGTCCATTTGGTCTGTTTTATATGCCCCATAATTTTCCTACAAGGAGAAATTGGTCCAGGCTCTTATGGGTTAATTAAGCTTCATCTTTCAAACAGCACTTCTAAATTAAATTACATCCGTTTCTGGTGACATTAGAAAAAAACACTATTTAATAATAAATTACTAATCTTACATTTTAAAACAATTTTAAAAAGTCATGTAAATAACTTTAGTACATTTCAAAATGGCCTCTAGCACTAACAAAATTAATTGGAGAAGGAAAATCTTTTATTGTATTTTTATTCTCTTTTTCCCACCTCACCCTATCCCTTTTTTGCTCATTTCCTCCCTTGGTTCTGGTCTTTCTGTCTTGTGTCTTCTGTTAATTTCTGCGCATAGCAAGATCAGTTTAGAGTTCAGTACAAACAGACATAAATCAAACCATCCCTTACTGAAGTGAAATTTATTTTGCTCTAAAATTTCAATTATTTAATCTACTGAACAAAACTCAATCAGATCACTGTGCATACAGGAAAAGATGACTATACTAATCCAGCATGCTTAAATGAGATCTTGCTACTTCTGCGGGTAGCCATGATAGATATTTCGCTGCAGCTAAAAATAGCCCAATGGTGCATTTTATCCGTTATTTCCGTGCATCATTACTTTGTTTTGATTCAATCTGCAATTAAATCAAGCACTCTGGTGATTATGAGCACTGTTGCTGCTCACCATGGAAACCAGAGTTAATTCAATATGTGAAGGTTGCTTAAGTCACTGCAACACTTCTACAAAGCACATAGCAACACCAGACTGGTGGCGGGGTGATGCAGGTCTGTTATCTGTAACCAGTAATCTGTGGAGAGGGGAAAAAAAGAAAAGAAATCAGGTGATATCCATTCTCTATCGTGATGGCAAGCCCACAGCAAACAGACCTAAATTAATTTCTATAAATAGACTTTCTGAGAAAAGAGGGGTCTCAGACCTCAGTAATGATATACTGGTGCTAGGAGAGGGGCAACAATTATTTCTGAGCAAATGTTGACTTTACCACACACTGGTGCATATTTATATTGTTCAAAATGTCTGGCATAGTGTTGAAATGTAATATAAAAGGCTGTTTGAGACTAGACTATTAAATTAGGGTTAATATATGTTACATTAGGTTTTTTAAGCCTGTATTTCAAGTTAGTATTTCATTAAAGGAATAGTTGACCCAAAAATGAAAAAAATTACTGAAAATGCACTCACTCTCAGGCCATCTAAGCTGTAGATGAATTTGTTTCTTCATCAGAACAGATTTGGAGAAATTTTGAATTACATCACTTGCCCAATGGATCCTCTGCAGTGAATGGGTGCCGTCAGAATGAGAGTCCAAAGAGCTGATAAAAACATCACAATAATCCACAAGTAATCCACACCACTCCAGTCCATCAATTAACGTCTTGTGAAGTGAAAAGCTGTGTGTTTGTAATAAACTCATCCATCATTAAGGTTTTAACTTCAAGCCATTGCTTCCTAACCCATAATATTGCAAAGTCATCTCAACTGAACCAAGAGAGAGAAATATGCAGGGATCAAGCACCATTTACAACCAAAAACAGTCCAAAACAAATATGTTGGTGGATCTTAATGTAAGAGAACATGAACTTTTTTATTGGAGGAAGCATTTTTATGGATTATGGACTCATATTTTGGCCAGAAATGACAGTTTAAAGTAAAAAAAAAAAATTACAAAAACACAGCTTTTCACTTTACAAGACATTAATTGATGGACTGGAGTTGTGTGGATTACACGTGGTTTATTGTGATGTTTTTATCAGCGGTTTGGACTCTTGATTCTGACGGCACCCATTCACTGTAGAGGATCCATTTGTGAGCATGTGATGTAATGCTACATTTCTCCAAATCTGTTCCGAAGATGAAACAAACTCTTCTACATCTCGGATGGCCTGAGGGTAAGTAAACATTCAGCAAGTCTTCATTTTAGGGTGAACTATTCCTAGCATCACCATAGCATCCTAAATTGAAGTACTGCAAACATAGTTGCAATCTGAATCCCATTTAGAGTTATCCTTATCCATTTCCCTAGTCTGCTCTACAACTAATCACTAAATAAATAAACATGTGGTGCCACAATGGAGCCATTGCTCAGTTTTGACAGAGATCTAATGCGGTGAGCAGGCAGGCAGTCGTAAAGAAGTGTGATTTGTCAGCGCAAAGGTTATTCTGTCACCCCTCCCTCCACCCAAAACACATAAGGGAACAGACAGGTTGACGTTAATGTTGTCTCTATTCTCCCTGGATTACAGTGTCAGTCCAGTAGGAGCAGAAATAAATAAACCACAGCACTAATGCAGGGGACTAATCCTGTGTGTGCAGAGGAGGAGGTAATACAACACCTGACATTTATCAGATATTCTGAGACAAGAACCGAAAAAGACTGAGTTGGCAGAGGGCATGAGCTCTTTAGAGACAATTTCAGCTGATTTCAGCCTTACACTACTGGTTGAGTGGGAAATCAAAAGGGCACTGGGAAAAGAAATGACATTATATGGCATCTAACAGCCAGGGTTCAGTCTGGAAACGTGTAAAACGCAAGTGTTGTACCTTTGCATGACCAACTGAGAGCTTTGGTAGATGTCTGCATGCATTATTGTGTAAACACAGCGATGAACATCCCCATCAGTATGGAGAGCAGTCAATCAGCTCCATGAGCATCATGCAGCCTCCATATTTTAATCAGGAAATTAGCCAGCCAGCTAAATTCCTCCATGCTCTCAGAGTTGAAGAGGTTCGAATCAATTCTTTCCATGTGAGTGATCTGTGCTTTTCTGAGTTCATTATCCAATATGGTGAAAAACACTCCAGTCACAATCAATCGCGCACACACACAAGAGAAAGCTATATTAATAAAGACATCTCATAAGGTAGGGCATACACTGTGCGACTTCAGCTATGTTTTTGTTAAATACCAACTCTTACTGTACAAGTTAATCGAATGCGATGTCAAGCCAAAGCTCAGGATTTATGTGTTCGCACTACACGGTCCATTCGTCGAGATGCAACTTCACTGCTCACACTATACATGTGAAATAAACACGTGGGACCCCCCGAACCCGGAACTGTGTAGCCTCCATGGCTTACGTCCGTACCACACAAAATGTCACCATGGTTTCATTTCTGTTTTCATGCAGTTTAGGCCAGTCGGTTCGTAGTTCCGCTTCAGTTGTGCGATACTCTCACGAGGAACGAACAAAATTTCTGACATGTCAGAAATTCATCCGACCATCCGATTGCCCCTCGGGAGAGGCTAATCACCTCTCGTTATCCCCTGTACGCACAACAAAGCTGAAATTCAGCCCGACTCAAAAAAAAGAGTCGCACGAGTAAGAATTCGTCTCAAACTTGAATGAAAATCGCACAGTGTATGCTAGGGCTGGGTTTTGACACAAATTTCACGATTCGATTCGATTCTCATTCACAAGCTTGCGATGCGATGCGATTCGATTCCCAATTCGATTCGATATTGATTATTTTGGATATATATCTGGTACACATGCAAAATTTTCTCAAAGAAAAAAAATCTCTTAACTAACGCTGTAAAATATACATGCGAGTCAGTTGGTACTACATTACTATAATATTGAAGGTTAAAACTGACTGATTTTTAGGCTATACAACTGCTTAAATTACACTTAATGAAGTTTTTATAATAAAAGTTACAATTACATAATAATATGGTGGCGGTCATAAAATTTTTTAATTTAACATTGAAGAACAGTAAAAGTTATAATGAATATATTATATGGTGCATATATTTAGCAAAATGCCCCTCTCTAATTATAATCGAGATATCTATATTTTTTACCCAGCCCTAGTGTATGCCCGGCCTAAGAGAAATAGTTTTCAAATATATTACGATACATAGTAGTACACAAAACGATTCATAAGCTCTCAATTTGATTCCCTATTTCGATTTCATTTAATTTGGCACATTTTAATTACATATGACAGAATTATCTCTCAACTATTTCTGTAAATTAAATAAGAGATCTTCTAAAATGTTACATTATGAAATTATTACATTTAAAAAACTGAACAACAGGTACCAAACTACACAGGATCAATTGCAGCGAGTTCATTCAGTCAATAAGTCGGACTAATTAAAACTTGTGAGACTTTTTTAATTATTTACTAAAAAAGTCCATTTGAGAGCATCATTTGTGATTGAAACATTTACACTGGAGGAGTCATTTTGTCTTGAGTCGGACTGCTCTGGTCGCACTTTAAGTTGCTGATTGACTAAAAAGAATTGGCTCATAAGAGTCATTTGTTTGTGAGCAGAACTGCACTGATTGCAGTTTATGCTATTGATTCACTAAAGAGAATCTGTTCGTAAGAGTCATTTGTTCATGAATCAGAATGCGGAAATCACGCAGTTTTTTTTTTTTTTTACTACGTGCAAGACTAGGAGGACAAGATAGAAATACATGTGTTCTTGGTCTACTTTTATCTGATCACATTTAATTCTGACTGTTAACACAATCTCAACATTCAGTGCAGTCAAACTCTCTCTACAAACTTCAAAGGTCACGATTTAGGAGAGAAGCAAACCCAGAAGAAAGGTGAACTTGTCTCAATCTCCATGCGTCTCTTTCTTGTTCTCAGCCAGTTGCTTCCTCCACTTGTCTTTTCTTTGACACTAATGACATTTGTCTTAGCGGAAACACGCTAATAAGAACAAAACACTACAAAAATACCACTCAGTTTTACTGAAGTATAGGTACAGTCTATATATTTATTAAATATTGTTGATTCCTGCTTAATTTTCCCCAAAAAAAAACAAAAAACTTGGTGTCGCAATACAGTCAGAATGTTCTTATATGTGGATGCCACAATACTAACCAATAAAATGCTGTTAATCTTTGCAGGTGAACATACACTAATACTCAAAACTAAGTTTGATAACACTTGAAGTCAGTTTATGTGAGTCATATAAAGGCCTAAAACATATCGTGACCTAGCAACTCAACCAATGGTGTTACTTTGGGGTGGAGCTATATTTTTGCTTGACCAATGGCAGACAGGGAATGTATTTCAAAAAACGTGTTCAAACACAGTCATTATTTTTGCATTTCCAGAAGGTGGTGCTAGTGGTGCACAAACTCCACTTTAACCTTATTATATTTATTATTATTGTAATGCATTGTATAAAAAAAACAATGCTTTAGAATACCAATTCATGTAAAATGATTTTTAGATTTACAGGCTTAAAGGGTTAGTTCACCCAAAAATGAAAATTAGCCCATAAATTACCCTCAAGTCATCCTAGGTGTATATGACTTACTTCTTTCAGACGAATCCAGTCGGAGTTACATTAAAAATTGTCTTTGATCTTTCAAGCTGTTTCATGGCACTCAGCGGGTGTTGCATGCGTCAGTCCAAAAGCACTTAATAAAAATGCGCCCATCCATAAAAAAAAAAGTGTCTCACGCGGCTCCGGGGGGTGAACAAAGGCCTCCTGTAGCGAATTACCCTCTAATGGAGGTAAATTGTTTCTGTAATTTTTTCTTCTGAAAATGTCGGTCATTAATTTATTTTTCCAATTTTAGCTACAATATCTTAGATTAGACTAGTTTCTCCAACTGACGTAGTATATGGACAGATATAATTTGTAATATTAGATATTCTCTATGGTTGCAAATAAAAGGATAAAAGGATCAATCTCTAAACATTTCCAGGAATGAGCCTTTGAATGTTTTCAGAAGAAATCGAACGGTTGAAGCGGAAGATATATTGCATTCAAAATGTCATCCACCACACTGCGAGCACTCAGAGATTGGAGAGAGTGCC